TTTCCCAGGCCCACTGACAGAACCAGGTCTTCAATGCCTTCCAGAAGAGTATTAGAGAGGGGGCCATTCTAATCTCTGGGGGAATGATGTTCCAGAGAGAGGGAGCCACCGTGGAGAAGGCCCTTCTTCTGGGTCCCAACAGGTGTATCTCCTTCAAGGTTGGGACCTACAACATTCCCTGCCTCCCCATTCTGATGGGTCAGGTAGATGTGATATGGTACTTCCAGCATTATATGTTGTACCAGCTATAGTTCCTGAGTGGTCTTCAAGGAGATTCTCATGTAGACCCTCATGTAGAATGCAATATTCCATTTGTGAAATAGAAGGGCTCCTGTTCCAGGAATAGTTGTAATTGTCATACTAGATGGAACTTGCAAATGCTGTATTACTCACAAGCATCACCAAGACAACCCCCAGATTGTATATAATCTTGAACAGGAAAGTACTACTCCAATCAAAATTAAAGGTGGAACATTTTCAGGACCAGGGGGCCAAATATCCACAACCACCTGATTTTTTTCAAGATTGAGCCATTGTCTTATTTTTCTCCAGCTCACATAGCCTGCAAATATGGAGACAGTGTCATGTGGATACCTACAATTGGGTTATCATTGATAAAATAATCGATACATTTCTGTATATAAGTGAATTAGTGTTGGCATAGGATGCTATTTAGTGAAGATCTAAATTCCTGGACCAGCCACAGGAATCAGGTTGGGGAATGTGTCAGCGTTCTGTTCCAACTATGTCAATATAAAATTTCTCCAGTAAAACAGGAGGATTGAGCTGCAATGGGTAATGCAGGTAAATTGGATAAATGAACAGGAAATATGATAAATGAAATTTACTGCCTATAAATGATTATTTTGGAACCTATGGGATGTAAAAGACACAATTTCTTTATCTCACATATAAGTCAATAGCCAGTTAATTCCCAAGACAATGGGGACACTCAAATAAGAAGTTGCAAGGTGGATACAATTACAAGGTTTCTAGAGGATAATAAAAATCTGGTAAAGAACAATACATCGAATAGTGGAATTAAATAACTCTTCCATTATGGGTTCCATCTGCATTGCTGGATTAATTGTCTGAGAGGTTAAGGCATATTACTGTACCTTGCCTTAAGTCAGTGAAATTGGTCATTGCTTCCAAGTTCAATAATGCAGAAAAAAATATTTCAGAGCCAGGTTGTGTCTGGGAAAATCAGAGATACCTGAAGTAAGCTGCTTCTTGTTTTAGATTTCTGAGCATCATTTAATTTATTATTTTATTATTTGCATCTTGCTTTTATTTTTACAAATAAGGTGGTGATAATATCCAACACACCTTCCTCCTTTCATTTTACCCACAACAATCCTGTGAGGTGGGTTGGGCTGAATAAAAGTTACTGGCTCAAAGTCACCCAACTGGCTTTCATGGCAAAGGTGGAACTTGAACTTATGGTGTCTTGCTTTCTATCTTGCTGCCTTAACCACTGGTTTCTCTCTCCCCACCCCACAAGCTCTTCAAAGGGAGGGATTGAATCTTCAGATTTGAAACAGTTGGGACACTTACTAACAACTTGATCCTTGATCCCACAGGTAAACCATTTCAAATCTGGTTGGGAGAGGGGAGTTTACAAAGTACATTTATAGCCCACACTAAAGTTGTAATCTGTATTATATCTCACTTCTGGCAAAGGAAACTGGTTCTTAGTTGCATTAAATCCATCCCAGAAGGATCCAAAGATATAAAGAGGAAGAGAGGAAATGGACATAAAAAGGGTGCAAAATATTTTCTCTTTTCTGTTCTTCATTTGCCATCTCATTTTTCATTCTGTTCTTCATTTGCCTTCTCATTGTACAACATTGAAAAAGCTCCTCTAAATTCTTTAGTGTGTGATGATGAACTACCGTAGTTTATCCTGAATTTCATTAGAAATTCATCCCTGGCATAAGCTGAAGCTTTCTTTATTTAGATGTATATGGTCACCCATCTCAAATACATGACTCTGGGACCAACAATAATAAAAGTGATAAAAAAGTTATACAAAACACATAATACTGTAATATGGAGAACACAGGAAACATTATAAATATATAAATCAGTTTTTCAACACAACAAATGATCTTCGTCACCCACCCAGGGCTCCAGGCTTGAGCACATCTCCTCCTTCACTCTATGCTTAGCTTGGTACAATCTATGAATTCACAATTAGCAGGAGCTAATTCTTGGCAGCTCTGTTTTTCTGAATAGTTATCCATCACTGGGCTGCTGTTGCCTGTTGTTGATAGGAACTACTCACTTGGCAGCTCCATCTGTCAAGATTCCAAGAATAAATGCTACTTGAGAGAGAGTTACTATTTCGTATACTTACAATCCTGGCAAGCTCTTGGTTCTAATTACAGCAAGAGTTTGGTTACTTTTCCAACCCTCAAGGTAATCAGACATATATGGGCTTTATTGGGCAGAAATCTTCTCTCAGGAAAAGTTGGAGTAATTTGTGTTTAGAAATGTAAGCAGCAGAGGCCCACCCATTAGCTATCCTTCCTTCTTTTTTCTCTCTAAATAATGTAGTCTAGGCTATGTCATATCCATAAATCTTATTTTAAAGAAAATTTCAAAAAAATAAAAATAAAAGGGAAAGGGGCCTTGGATCATCCATAGTAGATGTTAGTATAGACACACTGAGCTGCTCAGTTTAACTCTGGTTTGGAGAAGTTTTCCAATCCTAAAACAAAAAATATTTTTATTATTAAAACAATCTATAGAAGAAATAATCTGATACCTAGGATAGACCATCCTGTACTTTGTGAAATATTCAGTATGATTTAGGGGTCTCTTTTATTTTAAAAAATATCAGCACACTTACGACACCAGGCTCCATTGCAAACAGAGACTTTATCTTTCTCAGGCTCTGAGATACAAATCCATATTCAGTAGATTCTAATTTAGTGGATTCCGCACTTCCTCACTGGGTCTCTCTAGTTAGTTGGGGGGGGGGTGGTAATAAAGATTGGTGTGGAAGAGTCTTACATGTAAAGTACTACAGTATTCATCCCCCCCCCCCCTTTAAAAAAAAACCCTACATGAATTAACTGGGAGAAGAGAGTTTTCTCCATCATGGCCCTTGTGTTGCAGAGAAGCCTTCCCCTGGGAGTATAATTTGCTCTGATAGCCTGAAGAAGCAAAGGAGACATTTATTATTGTTGTTTTCATTGTGTTGCTTCATATTTAGATTATTCATTGATATCACTGATTTTGATGAAGGATTTTTTTTTTTTACTATGGATGTTTTGTGTTTTTGTATGCCAGCAGAACTCTCACAATTGCAGTAGTGTGAGAATTGAATAAACAGTATTTCCTGAATTAACTTGTGAAATCTTATTTTCATACAAGCAGCAATCTAGAGACTACTAGTATTTTCTGATGTACGGTACACTTCAGCATTTTTATTCTTATTTACCTCAGCTTCTCTCACATGAGAGGAGCTTCTTTTAGATCTATTACATTCTTCCCCTTTCTCTTAATTTCATAAACACAAAATCTATTTATTTTATGAACTAATTCATGTAATTTACCACTTACTCTCTTATATTCTAAGTTGCAATCTTTCATATACCATGACTGTCACGTGATAGACCCATAGATATTGACCTTTATCATTTATTACAGCTTTGGTCATTCGTAGCTTCATTGTGTTTGGATGTACAACAGAAAAAGAATAGACCTGGTTATTAGCCTTAGTAGAAGCAGTACACATATCAGATACACATTCCATGCTAAAGTTAAGGGTTTGAAACTGAAACATCAGCACAACCAAAACAGAGTTTTGCTTCAAGCATTCCCATTCAAAGCTAGCAGTTGAGACATTGTCTAAGATGTGAAAATGAAGTCTATCCTCAGCTATAAAACTCATTGGAAAATTTGGGGCCAGTCTGTCTCTTAGCACACTAACTCACAGATTGTTGTTGTGGGCATAAAGTGATCCTATATATGGTACCCTGAGTTCCTTCGCAAAGGTGAAATGGTGGATAATGATGTTGATGATATGATCACTGTTGCTGCTCTGCTGCTGCTAGTATAAATGCAGTACTACTATTATTATATTAAATGCATCTATAACCATATTCTGGCATAACAAGTCATCACAAATATTATTTATCAGTATAACCAGAATTGGACAAGTATGATAAATACATAAGAGTATTTCATAAAATAATAGAATAGCACCTGACCGTTAACCCTAGTTCTCAGTTTAAAATGAATTCCTCTTATATTAACTATTTTATATAGCAGCACTGAGTATTGCAGGAATGATTGTGATTTAAGGGAGTAAAAATGAAAAAGGAGGTGTTGAAGCTCTCTCAGGCTATTGGTCATCCTAGCAAATACACTAAGCCAGTCTTCTCCCTCATCACCTCCACCAGCTGTGCTGAATTACAACACCTATCATAGGAGATGTAGTTCAATAATATAGAGAGTAACAGGTTTGGAAAAGCTGTACCTAACTTTTTATGTGGTAGGACGCATTGATTAAATGGGATGTTCTTTTGACAAGCACATTTAGTATTGTAATACACCTGCGCCACTGAAAACATGATTAAAAAGTTGCATTGCTTACTGTCTAGAGCAAGTAAACTTGGCAAGTTTAAGACTTGTGGACTTCAACTCCCAGAATTCCTGAGCTAACATGACTGGAGGAGGAATTCTGGGAGTTGAAGTCCACAAGTCTTAAAGCTGTCAAGTTTGAAGGCCCCTGATCTAGAGCATATGCACAATTAGTATCAGAAGACCATAGACATTATTACAGATAATCAGGCCTAGTAGATGAATGGCCATTAGCATACAGAAACAGTAAGAAATACCATTTTAGTATGAAATGAATGGAAAAAGAACATGTCAGTCTGTCCATTTCACACACTATTATTCCAACCACCTTCATTAAAATAATATAGAGAATTTATTATAAAAATGACAGAGAATCATAAAGTCTTTTTTAATTCTTCCAAATTTAATTCAAGTTTGCCAAATATCTAAATGTATACACAGAGGTTTGATATTACCAAATCTCATCAGACTTCTTTTCATTAACTTCAGAAAAGAAGAGCTTATAAAATTGTTTTTTAAACCTAAAAGAAACAAAGATAAGTGTGCTGGATAACATTTGCAGGCATGGCTTTATAAAGCATTTGACATGATCTTAGAAAATATTTGTTTAGAGAGTATGGAAGCTGTGTGTAATGAAAATAAACAATTAAACCACATTTGAACCATGCTTTTAAATATGTTTTAACATGTTAAATCGGTTGTCTTAAGCTACACTTCAACCTTTCTGACCTACCTTTAAATATATCAACACAATTTAATAAAAAAGAAAGAATATTTTACTAGAAAAACAACTTGCCAAGTACTCATAGTATGGCTTTTTTACACACTGTACCATACTTATTGCATATTGCTCACTGGGGAATATGATAAGGACAAGTAAGAGATTTTTTTAAAAAGCTGGGCATGTGGAGATTGATTTAAGAACAGCTAACTAATGCTGTGTTCTGTTAGCATTTTCATTTTGTAAGGAATAACTGGAGATTGTTCCATGAATTATCACTTCTTCCACGTTGTTCATGAGGCATTTATCCACTAAGCCATTACCTTTGGCAAGATACTAGCTTTTGAAATCATTTGGCCAATTCCATCTTGGGGGGGGAGAGAGAGAAAGAGGGAGGGGTTCTTCAAATTTTCTTTGTTCAGAATGAATAAAACTTGATAGATGCATTAAAACTGCTGAATTCAACAGCGCATATTGATTCTTTCTGGTTATTCCAATTAAATCCTTCTCAATAAAATTCTCAGCAAGAAACTCATCAAGAAAAATGGGAAATTTTGTATTTAAAAATTTCAAGAGCTGAAAAGTGTGCTTGAAGGTCAAACTCTGCATAGGAATATTATGTGTTTCCAAAAACAGGAGAAAACTCTGGAGAAGAGGAGCTTGATGTACAAGAGAAATATACCTATTTTTGAATTGATTGGTATATTATGACATGAGCCTCTTTGATATTTGGATTAAAGGATTACAGATCATTGTTGTTTTATTTTAAAATGGCAAGCAACATTTTACCTGTTGTAATGGCATATCTAAAATAAATTGTTCTTAAAACACTAGGAATTGGAGCATGTATTTAATTGCCAGAGTTGGATTCTCTAGAAGTATTTAGATGGTTACCCATGCTTCATTTTATACCTGCTTCTTATAATGTTTGCTTATGATCTCTCATAAACCATCAGTAGTAGATGAGATAGAGTGTTAATATATGCAAACTACAATTTGTGCTTGTTTTAAAATACCAAGGAGGAAAATATTTACCCCCACCCCAAAATGAATAAGGTATGAGCAAGGATCATAAGCTAGTGCTGTCTGGTTCTCCAGAAGATATGCCCACGGTTTAAGGATTAGTAAAACAGTCTGACTTCCTCCAGGAACAAAGGGAACATTTCAATTTCCATATTTTTTTCAGTCTTACAACCTGGTTATATTCTGCAAGTGATCTCTTGCACAAAAGAGTAGCCCCATGAAATGATTTGGACAAATTTAGCAAATAACTTAAGAGGCAAGAAGCATTAACCTACAGCATATACTGGTATTGTGGCAGCACATTAAGGTTTATTAATGAATGTGTCTTTGGGGAATGCATTTAGAATATTATTGATTCTTTATGGTTCTCTTTTCTTGCTCTTCATTTTGATGCAACAACATTCTCATGGCCAAAGATAAATCTTTGACAAATTTCAGTATTTCAGACATCTAGACTATGACTTCCTGCAGAGTTAGCAATATTAAATGTAAATGAGAATGGCGGGAAACTATACTAACTCACAAAAATTACATAAAGTCATGACTCTTTAAAATGGACACAAACTTTCACTTCACACTGTTCTACTGCTTGTATTACCAGAGATAATTCATTGACTTTTGAGATTTTAGGTACACTGAATCAAATTTTGCATCAAAGACCTTCAGAATGACAAAGCCTATTGTTACTAGCTTCTTGTATAAGATTTTGAGCTTTGAGTTACTTTCACTATCTTTAAAAGAAATCTATTTTCAAGGACTATTACAATGCAATAAGATTGAACATTCAGGAACTCTTAGTGAAACCTGACATTTGGGGAAAGTTTAGGCCAAATATAAATGTAATAACAACCACTACATGTTGTTTTATTTAATTAAATTATGGCGTCCTGCATGAATTGTTGCTTCTTCATTCCAATTGTTAGGAAAGTGAGTTTTATACATGTCTTTGTGAAGGAAAGACAGACCCTTGTGCATATGGCCAAATGAGTGTAAGCGAAGTACTAAGGTATGTATCATTTTAAAATTGAAGCATTTGCATGAACAAAAGATCACTTTATTGGATAATGAGAAAAGTTCTGAACGGGACCACAGGAGAATCTTGAATGATTTCAGAATGGATGTGGCCACTGATATATATTGTTATAATAATCTGACCCCCGTGGAGCTCATCAGAAATCTCTATATCAGACAGCAATCCATTCCTATTTTCATTGCTAGTATGAACAATAGGGAGATCCATTATACTATTTACTTTTTTAAAAGGATGAAAGAAAGATTTGCACGAGGATAGGGGTGGTACTAGTCAACAGATAAAGTTCCTATAGAAGCAGTAGGCTTAGCTACAGTTACCAGTCTGAACAGCTGTAGCTGCAGGCAGATGGAACAATATTTGGTCAGACACTAGCAGCTGGCTAGCATGTTTGGCTCTTGCTGTTTCTCTAGTTCCAGGCAACTCAGCTTGACTTACTTCTTCTTTGCATTGACATTTCTGCAGACCCAGTTCATGCCATCCTTTAAAGACAATAGAAAAAGAACATTAGGTGAGACAGAATAGGTAGCCAGACCCTGATAAATTTTTCTTAAACTGGTTTGAAAAAGCACTTTCTCAGTGTTCTCTTAGTTCCCTCTATTATAGGTAGACCTTGACTTATGACCACAATTGTACATTGATCACACCAACTTACAGTAGCAATTCCAACCCCTTCCCCCAATGAGATTGTTAACCAAGAATGAAGGGTCTTTAAGCAAACAGCCACCCCAATCCAAGCAATTCCAGGCTTGGCCCTTCCAAACCCTGAGCCTCAGTAAAGTAAGGCACTGCCTTCAACTCCCCCCACCCACCTACCTCCCCCATCTCTGCTCTTTAAATGCCCTGCCCCCTGCCTAGCAGTATGCTGGTTCTGGGGCTGTTTGCCATGTCCTGGGAAGCCTCAAGAAGTACCAGCCCACACCAACAGCAAGTGATATCAAGCATTCATTTGACCCCCGCTGCCTTCTCTCCCAATTCCCTGCAATGACTTTTCTCCTCTTGTGCCCATCTGCCACAGCCAAAGCAGAAGCCCATTTTTGCTGTCTTTTTTGCAGACCCAGCTTCTCCAGCAAACGTTTCCTACACGTCTCCGAGTGCTCTCTTTGTAAAGCTCACTGTCCTTAGAATGCCGCATTGAGTCTTTAAAGCTGCACTGCCTTCAGAACACCACACTGTCTCCCTAAAGCTGCGGTGCCTTCAGCAGCTTTTCAAAAGCAGTGCAGCTTTATGAAGACCGTGCAGTTTTACGAAGATTGTACAGTGTTCCAAAAAAGGCTTAGGGACACACATGTAGAAAATATTTGCCAAAGAAGCTGGATCAAAAAAAAAAAAAAAAAGGCAGCAGTGAGGAGGAGCCTTTCAGGAAGTGGCCATACTGTCCTTATATTATGCAAGCATCCATGATCTCTGACAGATGTCAAAATGAGAAATAGAACGTTAATATTTCTGATTTCTGGAATTGGGTATGTCTAGTTTAATGAAAAGAAGGACTAGGGGAGACATGATAGCAGTGTTCCAATATCTCAGGGGCTGCCACAAAGAAGAGGGAGTCAAGCTATTCTCCAAAACACCTGAGGGCAGAACACGAAGCAATGGGTGGAAACTAATCAAGGAGAGAAGCAACCTAGAACTAAGAAGAATTTTCCTGACAGAACAATTAATCAGTGGGACAGCTTGCCTCCAGAAGTTGTGAATGCTCCAACACTGGAAGTTTTTAAGAAGAGATTGGACAACCATTTGTCTGAAATGCTATAGGGTTTCCTGCCTAAGCAGGGGGTTGGACTAGAAGACCTCCAAGGTCCCTTCCAATTCTTGTCAGAGTATATTCATGAACTGAAATAGAGCTTAGTAACAAGGTCAGCCAATGAGAGCTGAGTTGAGTGCTGAAACTTAAAGAGAGAATCTGGGAGAGGTTTATCCCTGTTCTGTGCTCAGTTCTAAAGTGAAAGAGAAACTAACTTACTTGTTTGCTTGCTGAACTAAAGTGAAACTGACATCTGTTTCTGAGCTCCTGAGTTCTGTTCGTTCTGAACCTGTAACATATCTGCTTCTATTTGAGTTTGCTCCATGTTGGAGAAATCTACAACTCGTATTGTAAAATTTACTTTGTGTCTTTATAAAAAAGTTAAATAAAGCCTCAGTCATCTGTATTTACTTTTCTGGCGCTGAATTTATGCTGCAATACTCTGAACAACTATTCTATTCTATTCTATTCTATTCTATTCTATTCTATTCTATTCT